AATCCGAAAGGTGCTCAAATTAAGATACATTGTTGCCAAAATTGAGCAATTTTTGACGCATTTTCCCTAACTTTTTGCAGTGCAGGATTAAAAATGGGTTTGAATTATTTGTAAATCAGTGCTGAACTCTTGTGGCTATTTTAAAAAACCTAATTTGTGAATTTAAATATTGCTACCAACATCAAAAGTCTTTCGCCATTGATTGCTAATGTATACAATAGTCATAATCGTAACACAAATAGTGGAAATCCAGTTTTTTGGTGACATGTAAGTTTCCCCTATGTGAGATAAATAAAGCACATCTTATCTTATCTTATCTTCTTTGGCGGAATATGGCGCAGGTGAAACTTTTGTCCATGTTTTGCAGCCGTTTAAGAAGTTGAGTTTTATCTATTTCTGTTCCAACTTCTTCAATCTGCTCCAGAGACGCATAGCAACCCATGGAGTATTTCCTCCGAAAAACATGAACATCAGTTTGTACAATGTAGCTCTTGAGATCCTCCACCTCTACCCTCCTTGTGTGAACCTTCCCCTTCCCCTCCACGCCTCTATCACCTATTCATCCTTTGTGGAGCGTTTTTATATCCACGAGGGTCCCATCCATCCACGCGAGCTGCCAAGATTCCCTGGAATTTGGACAGCGATTCCAAAAAAACGTTAGTGCCGCTTTCCCCCTCTCCATTTGAAAACACAAGAGGCTGTTGAGCGGAGCAGAGGAATAAATAAGTGTTAAAACAGCACATGGCCCCTCGCGGCGGGGGGGACCTCTGCTACGGGACGGGACAGCGGCCACTTGTTGTTGGGCTGGAGACCGCAGAGAGAGAGAGAGGGGGAGAGAGGGAAGGAGAGAGAGCGGGAGAGACTGACAGAGATAGAGAGAGAGAGAGCGGAAGAGACTGACAGAGATAGAGAGAGAGAAGGAGAGATTGGCAGAGAGAGAGAGAGAAAAAAAGAGAGATACAGAGAGAGAGCGGGAAAGACTGACAGATAGAGAGAGAGAGGGAGAGAGAGAGAGACAAAGAGAGATACACAGAGAGAGAGACAGAGAGGGAAGGAGGGAGGGAGAGAGGGAGAAAGAGATAGAGACAGACAGACAGACAGAAAGACAGAGAGATAGCGAAAGAGAGACAGACAGCGAGATAGAGAGAGAGAGAGCGTGAGAGAGAGAGAGGGAGAGAGATAGAGAGAGAGACAGACAGACAGAGAGACAAAGAGAGATACACAGAGAAAGTGATAGAGAGGGAAGGAGGGAGGGAGAGAGAGAGGGAGTGAGGGAGAAAGAGAGAGAAAGACAGACAGAGAGATACAAAGACAGAGAGAGAGATAGCGAAGGAGAGACAGAGAGGGAAGGAGCGAGAGCAGGATAGATTGACAGAGCTAGAGAGAGAGAGACAGAGAGAGAGAGACAGAGACAGACAGCGAGAGATACAGAGAGAGAACGGGAGAGAGAAAGAGAGAGAGACAGACAGACAGAGAGACAAAGAGAGATACACAGAGAGAGAGACAGAGAGGGAGGGAGAGAGAGATAGAGAAAGAGAGACAGAGATAGAGAAAGAGAGACAGACAGAGAGAAAGAGAGATAGAGAGAGAGAGGTTTGAAGTGGGCTTGTCGAGTATACGGTCCAAGAAGTGGTTTCTGCGTCTCGAGGGAATGCTTGTCTTGTGTGTGTGTCGCTGGTTTCAGGGATTTTACATCGACCGAGTGACAGTCAAGTTTAAGAACGTGTGCAAAATATACAGGAAGAAAGGCTGAGTTTAATCCCTGCACATGTGATAAAGATAACTAGCACGAGAACTCCCAGAGCAGTCAATTTGACGGCTTTTTGCATTGGAAGTTAATTCTTTTTTCTTTATCTATAATCTGTTTGTAGTTTATTTCTATGTCATTATTCTCATTAAATTATACAGTATATATATTTTTTTAATTGTGAGGAGTTCTACTTTTAATTCCTGGTTATTTGAATCTGTAGCCATTTTTTGGTCACTTGGCAACCAACCTTCAATGGCAGTTAGAGCAGTTAGAGCAGTTAGAGCAGTTAGAGCAGTTAAAGCAGGACCAGCAGCACTTTGAAAGCAAAATAAAGGTGTCACATATTTTCTTTCATATCTATTTTTCTATTAAAACAATAAATCGAAAATTGTTCCTTGTTAACTAGCTATTTCTTGTGTATTAGTGCATCTATATTCACATTTTACAATTTAAATACAACTTGATAGCATACTTTTTTATTTAATAAATTTACATGTATTTATAAAACATTTTCCTTTGTTCCACTTGTATATCAATCCCTGTCCTTGTACTCATTGTCGGCTTGAGGCCATATTCCTGCAGTACTTTGTCGCCTATTGTCACGATCCTTTTCATCGGCCTCACATTTCACTTCTTATTCTCTTCTGTAATTGTATAAGAGCTCGAAAAACACGGAGGTCCGGACTAAAGCGCTCTAAGTACAGACGAGTATTATGTTTTAAAAGGTTCCTATAGTGTTACAGCCAGACGAACTTTCACCTGTTCAGACCCAGATCTTGTTTAAAGTCGATTGGTTTGCGGCTCAGTCACATCCTTGTGCAGGTCAATACACTTCATAAAAGTAAAGACGCAGGTTTTAGCACAGGGACGTATGTGTGGCCCACGCAACACCAGCGGGAAATTATTATCACATCCACGGAAATGAGTCGGGATCAAGAAAGAAATGACAATGTGAAGCCCAAAATTCTAATATTTCAAAATAGCAGCCTACTTTGATTTTTGTATTATTTATAATTTTAAAGTGTTGGAAATGGCTGCAATTCCTAACAGTTGTGAAGATTTTGTACTCTACAATCTTTTTTTTTTTTGTCTTGTTTCTAGCTGTAGCTTCACTATTGTTCAGTAATTAGTTAGAAATGTTTATAATTGATGTCCTGATGTTTATATGGATGTGTTTTCTGCTGCTGGACACCGGAATTTCTCCTACAGGGATCAATAAAGTGTCTATCTATCTATCTACTTTTGGAAACAAATATTTAGAAGACATTTAATTATTCTGTCACTTTTCCCAGAGGCAGAGAAATTAGCTTGTTTTTATGTCTGGTCTGAACAATATTTTTATTGCGCAAGATATACAATAATTGCCAATGTATTTATGCATCAGACTTCACTTTTTACAATGGGGATGTCATATTATTATTTATTTTTTTATTGGTATGAATACAAAAATACAGGTGTAGAAATTCGTGTGTGTGTGTGTGTGTGTGAGTTTGCTGTGGTGTGCGAGTGTGTGTGTATGTGTGTAGTGGTGTGTGTGTGTGTGCAAGTGCTTATCCAGTCATGTACCATAATATAGTTTTAATGAAATGATTTTTGTTCCATTATTTTTGGAGAGTTATAATAAAAATCCCCAATTTCATGCTTTGTGATTAGCTTTATGCATGTGTTTAAAATAAGTTATTATTATAAGCAACCAGTAGTAGTAGTGACATTGCGGGCCGCTACTATAAAATGTGTTTTTGTTATTTTTTATTTGGATAAAATGTGTTTGTTTCAAAAATAATTCTGGATTATTATTATTATTCCTTATTTCAGACTCAAGATGAAATTGGTCCTTACAAAATTATGCCTCACATTTGATATATTGTCTAGCTATAAACTACAGTATGACCAATTTGATTATTTTAAAAAGTGCTTACGGTACCGCTGCTTGTATCTGACCCATATCTGGTCATCTCATGCCCATATTTGGTGTGTGGTGATGGCAGATCTATTAGCGATGTTTGGGCGAGTGTTTATGGGGCAGAATGTGTGCGGCCTCAGCTCTTAACCTTGGGCCCGACACGGAGTCCGACATGAACCATTCCATCCAGCGTTTTAAATAGAGCCGCTACACACCGCACCTGCTGCATGGACAGGTGTACGCTCAGCCAACACACCAACGCGTTTTCTACAGGTTTTAAACTAGAAATATTAACTTTACCTTTACATTACTGTTGCTTATTGTACAAACATGTCTGATGGTACGAATAATACTCAGATAATTTACTGAGAGAAAACAGAATCTCTATATCACATGTATTGCCGTGTTTTTATAGTACATATACTTAATAGTTACAAAAGGGCTTCGCAGTTAAACATTAAAATCACACAGGGCATTAAAAACAACACATTATGAACACGTACTAGAGCACTTTTTCATTTGGTTGTTTGTTATGTTTGTAAATATCTTCATTTTTATATAACTTATTTTAACATGTTCTCTATACATTCTCTATATTTCTTATACTGTGCTGTTTGATGCCATGTTATGATCAAATACTATAGGATTTTCTTAGATTTTCTTAAAAAGAGTTAAAGTAAACTGAATTCCACAATTAAAAGTGTGTAAATATAGATATGCAGATATTTATTATGAAGGGAATTAAAGAGTTAAAGGTAAGTTCTACAATTCACCGGTTTGTGATTGGAAAGACGGCAAAGACAAATCTAAAGAGACATGACATCCATCAGAGCAGCAAGAGCTCATTCACTGTAGAGTTCCCCAAAGTGGGTCCCCAAAACCTTTCCATTGTCACAGGCAGATGAGAAAATCAATCAGACATCATCATATTTGGTCTAAATTGCTACAATTAATCTTAAGTTTACAGAATAGTGTGATTGTTTTAGTGGGATTCTGATTACTTCAAATCTACAGTATGTATTCTAGATTACACAGTTGGTTTACATAATAGGAGTACACATAATTGAAGTAGGACTTTTCTATGATGCTTTATAAGTCCAAAAGCTCTGTCCAACTTTGATTCACAGTCTAGCCCTCTTTTCAAAAATGATTTCATTCAATTCATTCTTTCTTGAGCTAGCTATTTCTGAATAATAAAAGACACATTTACCAACCCTAAACCATTCATTACTGGTTACTTGGACTAAGCCAAAAGTGCAATCATATTCTGTTTAAAAAAAACATAAAGAAAAAATAAAGAAACATAAAATCAGCACTATCATACAGTACATCTATGTAGAAGTTGGTTTAGAAAAAATGTCTGTCCCCCTGAGCCTCAATGCTACTTAGAGCCAAGACCAAGTCCAGCCCTCGTCTCCATAGACAGCAGTGGTCTGTGGTCAGCAGGTGGACCAGCCTGGCCCGGGTCAGAGGTCCAGTCCTGGACACACACACACACACAGACACACACTGGCCTCCTGCCGTGACGGACCCGGACCTCCGCGACATGGAAGTGATTATCGCTGAGTATAATTGTACAACACCCTCGGCTGCAGGCATCCCAGCCATCACCGCCGCTGCCCCCGATGCTTAACCCCCGCTCCCCCGCCACAGCTCTGCGTGCCCTGGGTCCGGAGGCCTCACCCTGAAGCGGCGAGAGAGGAGGGGAAAAGGGGACCGCGTCTGTCGGCAGCTGCCCAAAGGCATCCTGGGAATCTGAGCCGCGATGGGAGGGTGAGGACAGGCGGCAGGTGCAGAGGGCTCCACGTGCAACACCTGGAGAAGAGACTGCAATCATACCTGACGCTATAACAGGAATGGATTGTGGTATTTTATTTTCCACTGCAAAAACCAGTGCGTTATAATTTCAATAGTAATACGGTTTGAATATGTTTTTATTGAATCCAACTCTCAACATGCTGTCTTTATTGCTTTTCATAATGTGTTATCTTTTGCGTACGTGTGAGACGGAGCCCTGTGAGTCACTATTTGATGCTTTGGGCCGAGGGTGGCTCTCTGACGAAGAAATATTGAATAATGTCTTAATTGAATCTTTGTTATCATGTGTGGACATTGGTCTTGTATGGACGAATGGCTCTTACATGTGATTATATTGCATTTCCTGCGGTCGAACGGTTTGATTCTCTGATCTGTTGTTGAGCAATTGACAACTTTGTAAAGTCCTCTTTAAAGACTGTTGTTAATTTAAAGAAGTGACACAGACCAAAAAATCATGTATGTGTGATCATAGAACCAAACGTTTTTGAGAGCGAGATCTTATATAATTTCATTTGTGTGAAAAGTTAGATACCCCAGCTTTAAAAAGAGTATTTTATTTTAGAATTATATTATTCACGTTCTTGATATGCATTTTTTTTTGTTCAAACAGAAAAAAAAACATCACATGTGACTGCTCCGAACCAAGAGTATCATGAGCACTTTCTAATTAAAGCCAGGGTTTGTAACTTTCTAACCATAAAAATATTCTATTGATGTGGTAAAATAAACCAGTTCCTTCCACAACATTTTAGTATGTTGTGGACGGTTATTGCCTTTAAATTGCACAAGTTGAAATAATATTGTTTGATAAAAGTGGTTAAAAAAAAAGTTTGTGATTGCTCCAGGCTAGTTTAATAAGTACTTCCTCTTTTAGCAGTATACAATTTTTTAACTGAACCCTGAAAAATTCAAGTAAAATATTTTAAAATATTTTAAGCTTCCAACACTGCAAAAAATGGAAGGAAGACATTTTTTGTATCATTTCAAAACAAGATAATTTTAGTTTGTCCCAGTCAAAATGTTTTAAATTTTTGGCAATTTTTTGACTTATTTTCCATCCCTTTTTTGCACTGTATTCAAGCCGTCCCATTTCCACGTTCCCGGTTTTGTTTTTTTCAGCATCCGTATCCCTCAGTGGCTTTAACCTCGGCACATTTTAACTCCACTCACCCCAAACAGCTGCCGTGTTTTACGACTCATTATCCTTTGCATTATAAACTTTGCATTTATTCTGGGATTCGGATTTCAACCAGGGCAGTGAGGTCGCCTTTTTTATTGACTCTGGACCCGAAATCACGACGCTGTTAAAACTCTCACAATCCCTTTCGTCACTTTATCAGTTTTGACAATGCACATTTAAGAATTGTGACCTTTTCTGGACTCATTTTTCATTTATAGGAGCATTTTTTTTTTTTTTTTTTACTGGTTTAGTGGTTTCCCAAAGCCACTCCAGTGAATGTCAGTGGTATTTATTTAGCCTGGACACACTGGAGCTGTGCCATGTCGTGTTTTGTGAAATCACAGCGGCGTTACCTTCGGGCCCTTTACAAGCCTTATGAGCAAATGGTGAACAGAAAAATACATGTTAGCAATTTTCCTCTTGAGACATTTTTTTTTTCGGGCAGTTCAAGGCCGATGGAGGCTAAGTGTTGCTCTTGCGCAAAGAAAGCGAGCCCATAACCCTGTCATTAAAGGGGACCAGCTTTTCATCAGCCGCCTGTGTTTTGTCCCATATTTTGTTTCATTCAGCCATGTTCAGCTGTTTCTAAAAATCTACTCATTTGATTCAACCTTCAAGTGCGTATAGATGGACAACACTAACCCACTCGCCCGCTGAAGCATGATAGGGAAGTGCTCGTGGACGAAGTTTTTCTCCAACTCATTGCACTTCTTGTGTTTTGTAAAGTCCTCCGAGATGATACTGTTGTGATTTAGGGCTATACAAGAATACATTAAATTGACTCCTATATTAAAGGTGCAGTAAGCGATTTTGTTAGCTTAGCCGTAGCACCAACTGGAAACCACTCCCCCCTCCCCTCGCCTCTGCACCAAACCAAACATCCAGCATTTTCTTTTCTTTATCACAACAGGGAGAGTGGGTGGCAAACGTGAAACTGGCATTTTCTGTTCAGCCCTTTTAGGTTTTAGAAAGTCTGATAACTCCGGTGCACTCTCGAGAAACAGGAAGACGGTGAAGGGGGTAAACGCATCCCATTGGTTCGTTGGGGATGAACGAATCCCATTGGTTTGTTTTTATCGGTCCACTCCAAAATATTTTTTGCTAATTCTTGGGGACTAGAGGCATCTGGCCAATTCCACTATTTGAAAACACATGATAACTTGACTACTTTTAGGGTTTACAACATATAAAAAAATGCGTTTGGAAAAAATCATTGACTCCATCTTTAACTTACATTTAAAAATAACCGTTTGTGTCACACTCACTATTTTTGAGCTTTAAAAATCCTAGCGCTCTCTGCAATCCAGGCGTTTTATATTTGAGATTGACTTTGTAAATCCAGATTGGAGCCTTTAGGATTGACTAATTAGGGGGGATGCCTAATGACTTTAATGTGGATTATGTTTTGCTTTTTTGGCCGATATTGGATTAAAAAAGAATTTGGCTCAAAAACTCAAATATACTCTCATTGATCCGGCTCTAAGTTCATTGAGATAATTTTCAAATATATGGACTAGCCTAGTATTCTATCTTTGCTTTTGTTTGGTCTTTTCCTTTAATTTTTCATGCCTATGAATTATCAGTTTTCAGAATCAGTATCAGATTTTTTATTACTAGGAATTGACTTTGGCTCAAGATGCTATGAAGTTGTTATAGTAAAAACGTAAAGGCATGGGCAAAATAAAGATGACTGATAATAATAATAATAATAATAATAAATATATTAATAATAATAATAATAATAGTAATAATCCAAAACCTATTTCAATCAGAAACTGTGCTTCTGCTTATTCCATTTTTGGCTGGATCAAAATAAAACAATCAAAGTTCAGGGAGAAGTCAGCCGATCCAACTTCTCAAATGTAAAGTCAACCTCAATGTGGATTATACATTTAATATATATATTTAGAGACTTTTTGGACTCTTTGTATTTGCACATAAACTTTATGAAACGTAGTCACCCGTATCTCTGTATATTTTCTTTTTCTAAACGTAAGCGTAACCCGGGCGACGATGGCGAGGTAAATGATGCATGTATGGCTCACATTTGTTACGGCCCTCGGAGGTTCAGACTGGCAGTGCATAAGCCAGCGTCGCCGTGGTGATGGATCTCTTTTTCCAATCTCACAGGCAACTGCTTTATCACCGCTCTGCGAACGCCGGGGTTTTCCACAATCCCAACCTCAGCGGAGCCGGATGGGCGCGAGGGGAGGTCGTTAGTTTTAGATCGTTTCGTTTTCTTCCACATATCGGTGATAGTTTGTTTGAATATGTATCGTAAGGGTTTAAGATTTGTTTGTGTTTGCAGAGATCAGGAGCTGTTGGCCTCGCCTGTTAAAGCTGGGGTACCTAGCTTTTTGTTCAATGAGTATCACTTTAACTGAATTAACCTAACCAGTTTTCTAAAAGTAAAATAAATCGGGACTGTTTTATCATATTCAAAAATGCGTTCTTTTGCATTCTTGTCATAAAATGTCCTGGGAGTCACTCTTTTGACTCTTAGGGCGGTGCTGATTGGCTGAGTGAGGGTGGTTCTCTCTTTTTCACTTTTCCAATCTAAAGCTGTGACAGAAAGCCATAAGAAAACTAGGGATGGAACCAAACTGATTTGAGAGCGAGGAATTAGTTTATTATTATTCTTTATACACAGTTCGTCTCCCCGAAGTTTCTCACTTTTTCCCACTGGGTTTTCTTATGAGTTTTTTGTTGTCGATGCAGGAGGGTCTGTTGGGCAGTTAGTGTCCAACTAGAAGGACTGTGGTGATGATCCAGGACACTTTAACATTCTACAACATGTATGGACATTTATCAACATGTGTTCTATATTCTTTATGTGTTTTGATTGTTGATTCTCTGATCTGTGTTGGTGATTTCAATGGTTTTGTTAAGTCCTCTGAGATGACTTCTGTTGTGATTTAGGGCTATACAAGAATAAATTGTATTGTATTGTATATTATTTCTCTTCTTTTCTGATTTTATTACTCAGTTCTATTATTTGAAAGTTAGGTACCCCAGCGTTAATCAAACAAATGAGTCCACTGACTTGCATATTGAAAATGGAATGTTTAAAGTTGTGTTACATACATTTGAATAATAAATGTAACCAAACTGGTCTCAAATTCAAAACTAGGTAAAGATGAGGCAAAATGTAAGATCTAAACCACGACTAAACTAGTGAACAAGAAAAAAAACTGAAATGTTCCGATTTGGAGAGAAGTTCAGATTGTCTCCATGTTGCAATGAGCCTGGTTTGAACTTCAATTACAGTATGTCTGGAAATAAAATAAGAAATGCTTATTTTAAATAAAAGCTTTTAGTTTTGAAGCACTTTCAACACTGGTAATACAAACGAAAAGGTTCAGAAATATATTCACTATACAAGAATAAAAAATCAGTTCAAACTCTCCCATCGTTTCCCTGTTGTGAACATCTCAGTCTCTCAGTCTCTCAGTCTCTCTCTCATTCCCTCTCTCAGTCTCTCTCTCTGTCTCTCTCTCAGTCTCTCTCTCAGTCCCTCTCAGTCTCTCTCTCTGTCTCTCTCTCAGTCTCTCTCTCAGTCCCTCTCAGTCTCTCTCTCAGTCTCTCTCTCAGTCCTCCCTCTCTCAGTCTCTCTCTCAGTCCTCCCTCTCTGTCTCTCTCGCAGTCTCTCTCTCAGTCCTCCCTCTCTCAGTCTCTCTCTCAGTCCTCCCTCTCTGTCTCTCTCTCAGTCTCTCTCTCAGTCCTCCCTCTCTCAGTCTCTCTCAGTCTCTCTCTCAGTCCTCCCTCTCTCAGTCTCTCTCTCAGTCTCTCTCTCAGTCTCTCTCTCAGTCCCTCTCTCAGTCCCTCTCTGTCCCTCTCTC